CAGCATCCTTTTTACATCGTGGTGACCAAAACTGGATGCAGTATTCCAAGTGTGGCCTTACCAAGGCCTTGTAAAGTGGTATTAATACTTCACGTGATCTTGATTCTATCCCTCTGTTAATGCAGCCTAGCACTGTGTTGGCTTTTTTGGCAGCTGCAGCACACTGCTGACTCATATTAGAATAGCTAAATAACATATATATTTTTTTGTCTAAAAGCACAATTCCAGTATTAAATTCTGGTGTTAGAGGAAAGATAAGCAATAAAAAGGAAATTGGTTTTACATCCTGAGTGAAGGCTAGTAACATTTGAACATTATTACAGTTTTGATTCTGATCAGAGGTCCCTTAGATGAAGATCAGCAGTGCAGGCTTTTTTGCATTCTTAAACCTAGATCTAAGAACTCTCATTAGGTCTACGTCTAGAATTTTATTTCTATCTTAGATTTCTGTCCTATCTAGGTATTGTGTACAAAACTCTCTTTTTGAATTTTTCTTCCCAAATCCTTGCGGGGTGGATTAGGCTGAGAAAGACTAGCCTGCTTAGTAAAATCAGGGAAGTTTTGAGGGTATGATATTAATTGTATACATCAGTGGTGGCGAACCTATGGTACGGGTGCCAGAGGCGGCACTCAGAGCCCTCTCTGTGGGCACGCATGCCGTCGCCCCAGTCCTAGGCCTTCAGCTGGGTTTTATAAAACCTTTTCGCTTTAGGCCTCCGCCGCCGTGTGCAAAAAAAAAAAAAGGTTCAATCAATCAGTCAATTTCAACTTCTCGCGGGAAAAAAAAAGATCTTGCAAAGTTGGGATTGATTGAACTTTTTAGTCCCACCCAGTCTGCTGTTACCATCGCTGCCACGCCCACCCAAGGGGCCACACCCACCCAATGGGCCACACCCACCCAGCACCCGACGATGCAAAAGTGGGTTTTGGGTTGCAGTTTGGGCACTCGGTCTCTAAAAGGTTCGCCATCACTGGTATACATATTGTGTTTTTCTGCAGAAGTGGTGTTTTGTGATTGGATTTTTTTTTAAAAAGAATTTTTACTAAGTTTCAAAAATAAAAAAAGTTATGCAAAATTACAACGTAAAGGGAAAAACTGGGAGAGAGGAACAATAGAGGAAGTTGAAAAAGGGACACAACCCATCCAAAATAATATTTTTTTAAAATATGGATACAGTTATAAGGTAAAATACATCCTTGTTTTGCACACACACAAAAAGAAGATACAAAATTAAAAATACCAAAGAGAAACATACCAAAACAATCACATAATAACAATAAACTTCCAGGGAGTCTGTAAGTTTTTATGCTGCAGCGCCCTCTAGCGGTGTAGTCAGGTCAAATCTGCCTTGTTTGCTTCGATGTCAGGTTTAATCAAGCCTATTTGAGCAGCTCACTTTTCCACTTTGGCAACTTGTCTGAACTGGCCTGATAGGCTTTCAAACATAAACAGCAGCTGTCATGAAAGACTTGGTGCTGAAAAGTGCTCCCTTATTTGTAATAGGATTAAAATAGGTACCGTGCAATCTTAAAATTGCAGCGGCGGCGTGCAAATGATCAAGGGAGGGAGCTTGAAACGCAGCGCTGTTGCCTGCAACGGGGGAGATCGTATCAAAGTTAAGGATTCAAAAAGAAAAGGAAAAAAAAGGGTGGGGGGAAACCCACCAGTCCCTTATATAGAAAAGCTTCTGGGGGGAAAAAGCTACTGTAAAGAGAAATGGGATAACAGCTTCCATATTTCCACGAGATCTGACTTTTGGAAGTGTCGTTTTTTTCCTGTTAGCACTGTGCAGACTTGCCAAAGCGACAACGTCTGAGTTACTTTCACACCCTTTGCAAATGTTTCCTGTAGCTGCCAGTTATTGCGATACATGGGGCTAACCTAAACAGGGTGTTGATGGTATGGCTGCAGTAAGTGTCTGCGGATTTGAAAAATACAAATAGCTGTCTATGTCTGTTGTTTAATGAAAAGAAGGACTAGACACGATAGCAGTCTTCCGATATCTCAGGGGCTGCCACAAAGAAGAGGGGGTCAAGCTGTTCTCCAAAGCCCCTGAAGGCAGGACAGGAAACAAATAGATGGAAACTAATCAGGGAGAGAAGCAACCTAGAACTAAAGAGAAATTTCCTGACAGTGAGAACGATTAATAAAATGGAACAAATCGGAAGTTGTGGATGCTCCAACTCTGGAGGGTTTTTTTTATAAAAAAAGATTGGACACCCATTTTGTCTGAAATGACAAATACAGGGCTTCCTGCTTGAGCAGGGGGGTTGACGAGAAGAAAACCCCCCCCAAAGTCCCTTCCAACTCTGTTATTTGTTATTCTGCAAGTGAGCCGTCCAAGATTTCAACCCCCTAGAGAAGGGTATCTCCATTGGCATAAGGAAAAACTTTGAATTCGTTTCCATCAAATTAATGGAATTGCCGCAGCACTTGGAAAGTGGTTTGTTTTTTTAAAAGATATTCAATGTTGCAGTGAATTTTATGGAGGCCTTGCTTTGCAGGTGTGAATTGATCAGGTAGCTCTTAAAATATAGTCAACTTACAACCATTTGTTTAGTGACTGCTCTAAGTTAACGGCACTGAAAAAAGTGACTTATGACCATTTTTCACACTTACAACCGTTGCAGCATCCCCGTGGTCACGTGATCAAAATTCAGACGCTTGGCAACTGACTTGTATTTATGACAGTTGCCATGTCCCGGGGGGGTGGTCACGTGATCCCCTTCTGACGAGCAAAGTCAATGGGGAAACCAGATTCACTTAACAACCAGGTTACTAACTTAGCAACTGCAGTGGTTCACTTAACAATGGTGGCTAGAAAGGTCGTGAAATGGGGCAAAACTCACTTAGAAACTCTCTTGTTTAGCAACAGAAAGTTTGGGCTCAGTTGTCGCAAATTAGGGACTACCTGTTAATTGCCTGGATTTTTGTCTTGTGTGCAGTTCCTGCAGCATTTACCACTTCATTCAAATCCAGCACTTGAGTGTTTACGTGAAACAGCCAGCCTTGTGGTTAGCTGATTGTGAAGGAAGGCTGCTGTGGATTAAACAATGTTGACATCCTGAATTTGGTAACGCAGCTTAGAATGTCTCAGCTTCTTTCCTCTGAATAGCTGTTGGTTTTTCAGGGACTTCCTGGGTAGGTGAGGAAAATATTAAAAGGTTGCTTTTATGGAAAATAGTTATTGGATTTTACTGGTAGGTAGACTGCCAGAAACTCTCCAGAAGTATAGGCTGATTTCTAGTAATCTGAACAATAGTAACTCCTAACATGGGATGCCCATAGTAGTCGTACTAATAGAAGACACTTAAGTGTGTCCTGTGAGCAGGTCATGTCCTGAATTACACTAGTAAGATGCTAAGATGAGATTAGAGTCACCAAGATGAAAAGTTCAGGTTTGCAATCAAAATATTGAAAGCTGTTTATTTTGCTTAGCAAAAGTTACTCGTCCTTTAATTCCACAAACCTTAGGCAGCCCACGGCTATCTTGGCGTGGTGCAAAGTGCCAATCAGACCACTGAGCCTGTAAATGTTATTTATTTATCCAACCGATGTTACTTAATTAAAGGTTTAAATTGTCAAAAGAAATGGTTCTTGATCTCCTGGAAAGCAGAATGGGAGGCATTAAAAAGTAGCCAATTAACAAAACGTTGAACCTGTCCAATAAAGACCTGTTTCTACTAAGAACTATGCAGATTAAATATTCAGAGGGATAGAAAGAGAGATGACCAGTTGAAACTATTAGTACAATGTGCAGGATTCTAACATTGCTGAAACGGTTCTGCGGCAGGACGCTGAAAGTTTTGGTTTAGTGTTGATACTTCATTCTCGTTTTATTAAATATTTGGGTATATATGATAGTGGTAAACTTTAGCGCCTTGCAAAAACATGCATTGCTTTTATGAATTGGATACTAATTTTTGAAGATCTGGGAGAAGCTGGAAACCTTTCCCTTTTAAAACACATGCACACACACACATACACACACAGAGAGAGGTAAGATGTAACCCTTATACTAAGTATAGAGCTGTAATAGAATGTGACTCGCAAGATCTAGGTCAAACATGCAAAGATTTCTCTCTTCCTCTCATCTAACCTTGTTTCCAACTTATTCAAAATATTTCCCTCTTCCAAATTTTGAAGAAGGAAACCTGTTTATAATACCGTGTTTCCCCCCCAAATAAGACCAGGTCTTATATTTTTGCTCCAAAAGACGCATGGGCACTTATTTTCCAGTTTTTATTTTCGGGGAAATTCGGTACTCAATGTGTTCTTCTGGCTGCCAATCTTATTTTTGGGGTGGGGCTTATATTACAAGCGTCCTGAAAAATCATGCTAGGGCTTGTATTCCAGTTGGCACTTATTTTGGGGGAAACACGGTAGCTAGGAATATTATGGAGCATAACTTCAGATAATTGAGAAAACCTACATACCATTTTCTTATTTATTTCCAGTTTTTTCCCCTGGGCAAAATTTTAGGTAGTAAGCCTCTCAAGATGGCAATTTTTTTTCTCCTTAGCACTAAAGTACTGTCTCACTGATGACACCATGGTATTAAATATCAATCAGAATAGAGCTGGAAGGGACTTTGGAGGTCTTCTAGTCCAGCCCCCTGCTCAAGCAGGAGACCCTATGCCATTTCAGACAAGTGGCTATCCAGTCTCTTCTTAAAAATCTCAAGTGATGGAGCACCCACAACATCTGGAGGCAAGCTGTTCCACTGGTTAATTGTCCTCCCTGTCAGGAAGTTTCTCCTTAATTCCAGGTTGCTTCTCTCCTTGGTCAGTTTCCAATCATTGTTTCTTGTGTTGCCCTCTGATGCTTTGGAAAATAAATTGACCCCCTCCTCCTTGTGGCAGCCTCTCAAATACTGGAATACTGCTATCGTGTCCCCCCCCCCCGTCCTTCTTTTCTAACAGCATATATTCTTTTTTAATAGTATATATGTCCATATGCTATTATTTATATAACCCTACTTCCAATCTTTTCATTGCAGGAATTGATTACAAAACCACAACAATTCTGTTAGATGGCCGAAGGGTCAAACTGGAGCTCTGGTGAGTCTACATAAATTACATAAATATTTCAAAGTAGCGGAAAACCTGAGCAGAAAATCTGAACTCACTAAGATAATCTGCAACTTTATATGAGTTATTAAAAACTGCTTTAGTTGTGCTGTAATTCATATGAAGTAATATTGGTTTATCTTGTGAATTAGCTTATGTTGAATCTCCCCTCCATTATTATAATGAATGGTATCTTACAAGAAAGCAAGATTTTATGCAATGTCCAATACTAAAAGTTGTGAAACCTAGCCCACAGGTTTACTATTTATTCTTATTATTTTTATGTCCTGCCTTTATTTTATTTTATTTTTTATAAACAACTCAAGGCAGCGAACAGGCCTAATACTTCTTCCTCCATCTATTTTCCCCACAACAACAATCCTGTAAGGTGACTTGGACTGAGAGAGAGTGATTGGTCCAAAGTCACCCAGCTGTCTTTCATGGCTAAGGCGGGACTAGAACTCACCACCTCCTGGTGATTGGCCCAAAGTCACCCAGCTGGCTTTCATGGCTAAGGCGGGACTAGAACTCACCGCCTCCTGGTGATTGGCCCAAAGTCACCCAGCTGGCTTTCATGGCTAAGGCAGGACTAGAACTCACTGCCTCCTGGTGATTGGCCCAAAGTTACCCAGCTGTCTTTCATGGCTAAGGCGGGACTAGAACTCACAATCTCCTGGTGATTGGCCCAAAGTCACCCAGCTGGCTTTCATGGCTAAGGCGGGACTAGAACTCCCCGTCTCCTGATGATTGGCCCAAAGTCACCTAGCTGTCTTTCATGGCTAAGGCGGGACTAGAACTTGCTGTCTCCTGGTTTCCAGCCTGGTGCTAGACTGGACGAGACACTAGACCAGACTGGCTCACTAAACAACATCTGAATAAATAATCTAAAGAAAAGGAGAAAAAAGTTTTCAACAGAAGAAATACTGAGTCTCTCTCTCTGGTTTTTAAACATAGAGGTCAAAATGCTGGTGACGGCCCCGCCATAACTTCGAACAGTTGCTAAGCCAAGGGTCTTCAAACCTGGCCCTTTTATGACTTGGGGACTTCAACTCCCAGAATTCCTCAGCCAGGCACGTGTGCCTGGCTGAGGAATTCTGGGAGTTGAAGTCCCCAAGTCATAAAAGGGCCAAGTTTGAAGACCCCTGCGCTAAGCAAACGCTTCTAAACGCTTGCATACAATGCTGCCTAGACCAGCGGTTCTCAACCTATGGGTCACGACGCCATTTGGGGTCGATCGACCATTTCACAGGGGTTGCCAAGCAAGGCTGTCCGCCATTTTTTCCCCCTTTTCCGATGGGTGCCTTACCTTCCTTGAGCTGGGCCAGCTGGTGGTCGGCCTGCTCCGTCTCTGCCGCTTGCCAGCTACGCCTCGGCTGGCGCAGGGGGCGGAACCACGCATGCGCGGCGCTCCCAGGCAGGGAAAGTCCTCGACTTACGACCGGTTGGGTAGTGCTCGACTTACGACTGGTTTAGTCCTTGACTTACGACTGGTTTAGTCCTCGACTTACGACCGGTTGGGGGTTGCGTCATTAAAAAGGTTGAGAACCACTGGCCTAGACAGAGAGAAGACACTTTCTAGCAAATATTTGCCCAAATGCCTCCTTCCATAATAAATAGCACCAATTAAATAAGTGTGGTGGCTCCCCCGGTTTTGCGGTCCAGAAAATCCGATGGCAGAGAAAAACCCCATGTAGGAAATTCAGCTAATGAGTCTCCCAGCGGCTTGCTTCGTGCTCCTCCAAGATCATTAAAAACCCAGCATGGATTCAAAGCGCCACGTTGCGACCCGCAGCCGAACGGAGCCTGACCTCGGCTTGCATTCCAGGAGGGGCTGGCCACGTTGCGCACGGCCCTCCCCGTCACACCACAGATGTCTGGCGATGCCCCTTGGTGCGCTCCAGTATTTAGGTAAATTCAAAGGCGCGACAAAAACATGGGTGTGCGCGTGGAGGCAGCTGCTATCCTTAAGGCACCCTGCATCTGTTTACTACGGAACCCGCGGCGCTCCTAAGTAAACACGGTTGTAAGCCCCCGCCGTGATGTGCCGTTGGCCTCTGCCCTCGACCTTGATTGCTGGGCCCCACCATTTTCTGGACAGGCGGAGATTTGTTTTTATAACTTATAAAATAAAGCACGGAGCACTTTCTGTACCGTTGGAGCCTCCAAAAGAGGCCCAGGGGAGGGGGGGGGGAAGAAAGCTACTTGCTTGGCCAAAGCTTGTGGGCCATTTATGATTAAGTCTTGGTTTCTCTAGTCCTAACTGCAAAATGAAGCAGCGATCTGAGTATCATTTCTGACAGGGTTGAAAAGAATGGCGGGGAAGAATACACGGGGGAACAGTGATCTGCGTTAGTGAATGACATGTTAGTGAACTCTGAAACCTGGTTTAATATGGATGACCAGGTAAAGGCATTAAAGCCCTCTGCTCTCCCAAAGCTGATAGGATATTTTTTACACACATTCTCCATTCTTATCTATCTATCTATCTATCTATCTATCTATCTATCTATCTATCTATTATCTACCTACCTACCTACCTACCTATCTATCTATTATCTACCTACCTACTTACCTATCTACTTATCTATCTACTCCCAAAGCTGATAGGATATTTTTTACACACATTCTCTATTCTTGGCTATCATCTATCTATCTATCTATCTATCTATCTATCTATCTATCTATCTATCTATCTATCTATCTATCTATCTATCTATCTATTATCTACCTACCTACCTACCTACCTATCTATCTATTATCTACCTACCTACCTACTTATCTATCTACCTACCTGCTTACTCTATCTATCTATCTATCTATCTATCTATCTATCTATCTATCTATCTATCTATCTATCTATCTATCTATCTATCATCTACCTACCTACCTATCTATCTCTGTCTACCTACCTACCTAACTTATCTACCTATATCTATCTATCTGTCAATTTATCTGTCGATTTATCTATCATGTAGTCTCGAAGGTACAAAGGCATATTCAGGCATTGTAAAATATTTTCAAAGAAATACTTGTTAATTCAGTGTACGATCTTTGCATAATGACAGTGTCGGGAACAAAAACACAAGAGAGGAAAGAATAGGTTTATTTTATAGGCTTAGGTTGTCTTTTGTTATCCCCACCCACCCCTCCTCATACTTATATCTAAGAGGCCGATAAAGGAGAATATTTGTAGTCAGGGTTGAAATGAGGGGTCCTTGGGGCTCTCTGAGCTTAGCAGTTTTCTTGCAGATGTTTCATTGCCCAACTAGGTAACAGCATCCGTGCTAGAAGAGACTGGGGTTTGCTCTGTGTTTATATTCTAGTGCTTGCCCTGTCAGGGTAAGTGCACCTGCCTCACACATCCTATGGTGGGATGAGGAAACTTTTCAAAACTTCTGTGCTTCTGATTCCACCCCCCCTCCTCTCTATTCCAGGGACACATCTGGCCAAGGCAGATTCTGTACTATTTTCCGATCCTACTCCAGAGGAGCCCAGGTGAGTTCCACTAGCAATATTAAATCCTACTGCTCTTTTTTCCTCAGAATAGACAAGAGCTTGAAGAAAAATGCTTCTTGGAATCATTGCTTAAGAGCTGCTTGATACCCCGGATTTTATGGAAAAGAGTGAGAAAAGGCAGATATCTCTTTTGGGACAATTTTTATATATTTATCTTTACCATTCCTAAATCACCCAGCTCCCTCCGAGATCCTCAAAATGCTTTAGCTCAGGATACAAGAGAGATAATTTTGCGCCCTCTCAATGTTTTGACCTACTGTTTCTAATTGTGATGTAATCTGAGGGCTACATTGAACTTTCATTGACTTTGAAGTAGCAGGAGAGAAAGAGTGTTGATGTTTTTGAATGTTGGGGTGGCAGAAGACTCCTGAGAAGACCATGGTTAGCCAAGAAAACAAACAAATGGGTCCTAGAACAAATCAAGCCAGAGTTCACACTTGGGGCACAAAGTACGACATTCAAAATATCCTACTTTGCACACATCAGGTAAAGACCCAGCTGTCTGGAGAAAGCTGTAATTCTGGGAAAGGTGGAAGAAAGGTTAGAAGAGGAGGACCAGTAGCATGGTGGAGAGACTCAGTTATGGTGGGCACCATTAGAAGACCTGAAGGACCAAAGTAGGGACAGATCCTCCTGGAGAAGATCCAGCCATGGTGCTTGCTAAGAACTGAGTTGATAGTACATAATAAATTTCTATCTAGGAAAGCCATAAAATACCCAGAGAAGTTAAATCTTGGGAAAGGTAGAAGGAAGGAGAAGGTGACCAGCAGCAAGGTGGAAGGACTCAGATGATGGGACACCTTTGAAAGACCTAAAGGACCAAGTTAGGGACAGACCAACATAGAGAAAATGTATCTAGGTGGTCACTAAGAGTCGAGAACAACTTAATGGCACATAATCAGTCATGGTAAAAAAAATTCTGGAAAAGGTGGAAGGAAAGATTAGAAGAGGAGGACCAGCAGCATGGAGGCACCATTGGAAGACCTGAAGGACCAAATTAGGGACAGATCCTCCTGGAGAAGATTCAGCGATGGTGCTTGCTAAGAACTTGGTTGCACATAATAATATTTTATTCAGGAAAGCCACATAATACTGAACAGTTCATAATCTTGGAAAAAGTAGAAGGAAGGAGAAAAGATGAGGATAACCAGCAACAAGCTGGAGGCAGTTACAGTGATGATGGAGGCACCTTTGGAAGACTTGAAGCATCAAGTCAGGGACAGANAAAAAAAGGGTGGGGGGAAACCCACCAGTCCCTTATATAGAAAAGCTTCTGGGGGGAAAAAGCTACTGTAAAGAGAAATGGGATAACAGCTTCCATATTTCCACGAGATCTGACTTTTGGAAGTGTCGTTTTTTTCCTGTTAGCACTGTGCAGACTTGCCAAAGCGACAACGTCTGAGTTACTTTCACACCCTTTGCAATGTTTCCTGTAGCTGCCAGTTATTGCGATACATGGGGCTAACCTAAACAGGGTGTTGATGGTATGGCTGCAGTAAGTGTCTGCGGATTTGAAAAATATAAATAGCTGTCTATGTCTGTTGTTTAATGAAAAGAAGGACTAGACACGATAGCAGTCTTCCGCTATCTCAGGGGCTGCCACAAAGAAGAGGGGGTCAAGCTGTTCTCCAAAGTCCCTGAAGGCAGGACAGGAAACAAATAGATGGAAACTAATCAGGGAGAGAAGCAACCTAGAACTAAAGAGAAATTTCCTGACAGTGAGAATGATTAATAAAATGGAACAAATCGGAAGTTGTGGATGCTCCAACTCTGGAGGGTTTTTTTTATAAAAAAAGATTGGACACCCATTTTGTCTGAAATGACAAATACAGGGCTTCCTGCTTGAGCAGGGGGGTTGACTAGAAGACCCCCCCCCCAAAGTCCCTTCCAACTCTGTTATTTGTTATTCTGCAAGTGAGCCGTCCAAGATTTCAACCCCCTGGAGAAGGGTATCTGCATTGGCATAATGAAAAACTTTGAATTCGTTTCCATCAAATTAATGGAATTGCTGCAGCGCTTGGGAAGTGATTTTTTTTTTAAAGGATATTCAGTGTTGCAGTGAATTTTATGGAGGCCTTGCTTTGCAGGCGTGAATTGATCAGGTAGCCCTTAAAATATAGTCATCGACTTACAACCATTAGTTTAGTTGACTGCTCTAAGTTAACGGCACTGAAAAAAGTGACTTATGACCATTTTTCACACTTAACAACCGTTGCAGCATCCCCGTGGTCACGTGATCAAAATTCAGACGCTTGGCAACTGACTTGTATTTATGACAGTTGCCATGTCCCGGGGGGGGGGGTCACGTGATCCCCTTCTGACGAGCAAAGTCAAAGGGGAAACCAGATTCACTTAACAACCAGGTTAATAACTTAACAACTGCAGTGGTTTACTTAACAATTGTGGCAAGAAAGGTCGTGAAATGGGGCAAAACTCACTTAGAAACTGTCTTGTTTAGCAACAGAAAGTTTGGGCTCAGTTGTCGCAAATCAGGGACTACCTGTTAATTGCCTGGATTTTTGTCTTGTGTGCAGTTCCTGCAGCATTTGCCACTTCATTCAAATCCAGCACTTGAGTGTTTACGTGAAACAGCCAACCTCGTGGTTAGCTGATTGTGAAGGAAGGCTGCTGTGGATTAAACAATGTTGACATCCTGAATTTGGTAACGCAGCTTAGAATGTCTCAGCTTCTTTCCTCTGAATAGCTGTTGGTTTTTCAGGGACTTCCTGGGTAGGTGAGAAAAATATTAAAAGGTTGCTTTTATGGAAAATAGTTATTGGATTTTACTGGTAGGTAGACTGCCAGAAACTCTCCAGAAGTATAGGCTGATTTCTAGTAATCTGAACAATAGTAACTCCTAACATGGGATGCCCATAGTAGTCGTACTAATAGAAGACACTTAAGTGTGTCCTGTGAGCAGGTCATGTCCTGAATTACACTAGTAAGATGCTAAGATGAGATTAGAGTCACCAAGTTGAAAAGTTCAGGTTTGCAATCAAAATATTGAAACCTGTTTATTTTGCTTAGCAAAAGTTACTCGGCCTTTAATTCCACAAACCTTAGGCCAGTGGTGGCGAACCTATGGCACGGGTGCCAGAGACGGCACTCAAAGCCCTCTCTGTGGGCACTCACGCCGTTGCCCCAATCCTAGGCCTTTAGTGGGTTTTATAAAACCTTTTCGCTTTAGGCCTCCGCCGCCGTGTACAAAAAAAACCCCAAAGGTTCAATCAATCAGTCAATTTCAACTTCTTGCAGGAAAAAAAAGATCTTGCAAAGTTGGAATTGATTGATTGAACTTTTTAGTCCCACCCAGTCTGCCATTACCACCACAGCCACGCCCACCCAATGGACCACACCCACCCAATGGGCCACACCTACCCAATGGGCCACACCCAGTCAATGGCCACACCCACCCGGCACCCGACGATGTATAAATGGGTTTTGGGTTGCAGTTTGGGCACTCGGTCTCTAAAAGGTTCGCCATCACTGCCTTAGGCAGCCCACGGCTATCTTGGCATGGTGCAAAGTGCCAATCAGACCACTGAGCCTGTAAATGTTATTTATTTATCCAACCGATGTTACTTAATTAAAGGTTTAAATTGTCAAAAGAAATGGTTCTTGATCTCCCGGAAGGCAGAATGGGAGGCATTAAAAAGTAACCAATTAACAAAACGTTGAACCTGTCCAATAAAGACCTGTTTTTACTAAGAACTATGCAGATTAAATATTCAGAGGGATAGAAAAAGAGATGACCAGTTGAAACTATTAGTACAATGTACAGGTTTCTTAACATTGCTGCGGCAGGACGCTGAAAGTTTTGGTTTAGTGTTGATACTTCATTCTCGTTTTATTAAATATTTGGGTATAGATGATAGTGGTAAACTTTAGCTCCTTGCAAAAACATGTGTTGCTTTTATGAATTGGATACTAATTTTTGAAGATCTGGTAGAAGCTGGAAGCCTTTCCCTTTTAAAACACATGCACACACACACACACACACACACACACAGAGGTAAGATGTAACCCTTATACTAAGTATAGAGCTGTAATAGAATGTGACTCGCAAGATCTAGGTCAGACATGCAAAGATTTCTCTCTTCCTCTCATCTAACCTTGTTTCCAACTTATTCAAAATATTTCCCTCTTCCAAATTTTGAAGAAGGAAACCTGTTTATAATATCGTGTTTCCCCCCCAAATAAGACCAGGTCTTATATTTTTGCTCCAAAAGACGCATGGGCACTTATTTTCCAGTTTTTATTTTCGGGGAAATTCGGTACTCAATGTGTTCTTCTGGCTGCCAATCTTATTTTTGGGGTGGGGCTTATATTACAAGCGTCCTGAAAAATCATGCTAGGGCTTGTATTCCAGTTGGCACTTATTTGGGGGGAAACACGGTAGCTAGGAATATTACGGAGCATAACTTCACATAATTGAGAAAACCTACATATCATTTTCTTATTTATTTCCAGTTTTTACCCCTGGGTAAAATTTTAGGTAGTAAGCCTCTCAAGATGGCAATTTTTTTTCTCCTTAGCACTAAAGTACTGTCTCACTGATGACACCATGGTATTAAGTATCAATCAGAATAGAGGTGGAAGGGACTTTGGAGGTCTTCTAGTCCAGCTCCCTGCTCAAGCAGGAGACCCTATGCCATTTCAGACAAGTGGCTATCCAGTCTCTTCTTAAAAATCTCAAGTGATGGAGCACCCACAACATCTGGAGGCAAGCTGTTCCACTGGTTAATTGTCCTCCCTGTCAGGAAGTTTCTCCTTAATTCCAGGTTGCTTCTCTCCTTGGTCAGTTTCCAATCATTGTTTTTTGTGTTGCCCTCTGATGCTTTGGAAAATAAATTGACCCTCCTCTCCTCCTTGTGGCAGCCTCTCAAATATTGGAATACTGCTATCGTGTCGTCCCCCCCCCAGTCCTTTTCTAATAGCATATATTCTTTTTTAATTGTGTATATGTCCATATGCTATTA